AATATACTTTAATTTGTCTAAACGCCTTTACTGACTTAACTTGTTACAGAAGCACGTTGTAAGACATATGTAATATAAATGATATAGAAATATATTTGTATTTATACGTTTTCTAAGATAGGAAGAATGGCAGTTTTTGCCGGGATACAGAAAATATAATGATTTCTTTATCCTCAAATTTCATTTCCCTTTGGGCAACACTGTTCACCAGGGTATTGATGAATATCGTCGTCCTTAGATCTGCTGAAATTTCACAATATTTGGGTCAACAATTTATTACACATAGACACAATATATAAATGTAACGATCACAGCAAGCCGGCGAAATTTACTGGTCACATATTTGTACCATTAGGTTTTGAACAACCAACATTTGATTCCTGAACAGATTGTACATACGTTTGATTCGCTATCATGTGACATTGAAGTGATATCTCGCCCATCTTATGACGATGCCTAACATCTTCTTAGAATCATGAAGTACTGTTTTCTACAAATTTGTGTGTAATATTCCACCTGCTCCTTGCGGCTAAATATTGCTGGAAAATGTCACATGCCTTTTCGCTCCAACGAACGTTGCATGCAGAGATGTTTGGTTCTGCACACCAAGTTCTTGACGGTAGTTGTATATTGCCCAGGGCAGACTGGCGAGAAGACATACAGTGCCAGCCTTCGCCTCATTGGGTACATTCAGTACATGCTCATTAGAGAGAAAATTGTCGAGTTTCAGTGTTCATCGATTTTGAATAATAATATGTTTTATCTGTGTTTAGCCTTAAACCATATTTTGCGCCAATAGAGACCAACTTACTTGAGAAAACAATTTATTCTATATCATACTTAATTGTTGTATGAAAAGCATCATACACGTGAAATTCAGTCTTGTTTTCGGGAATTTCCGGTCCTTTTCGGCCACCGGCGAAAAAGGGGGAAACCTTTACAAAAACAGCGGTTGGTTAATTATTCTAAAATCATAAAAGTCTTCAAAGATTTCTTAAATTGTGCTTCAGGTGATCGGGTGTTCCCTTTAACTTTTTTCTACCTATTTTCACCAACGTTAAAGCGTTTCATTTTAAAAATGCATTCATTTGATCTTAAATGTTTTTTTCTGTACTGGTCACGTGCCTATATACATGAATTCTCAGAATTTGAATTTTAAACACAACATAACAACTACCCTGCTTCTGACTAAGAGGGTATTTAAAAGGAAGGGTCAAACGTTAGAGTACTCAGATGGATGAAAACAACTTCTGATTTAATGAACGAACTTCAACGTTTCAGATATCTCGACACCAAAGTGGGAGGAAAAATGCTTAAATCGACATTGTTCTTCAAGGATCTGTTGAAAATCGTTCGTAATATGTTGAGCGGTAAGATAATAAAACGTTAAAGTATCTTTATTGTTTATTTTGTGTGATTTATCGGAAATTATTGATATGACAAAAACTAGCCAGTTTTTAGCGGGATCAGGTGTTATTAAGGTACGGTTTGTGTATTAGTCTACAACAGTTAAACAAACTTTCGATACCGTAGTCTGAAAGGAATTATTAGCAACATCCTGCTTAAAAGAAAAGAAAAAAGCTTTAGAATCTTTGGAAACCTAAATACTCTCGGCCAGCGGCGAAAAAGGGGAACCCTTAAAGAATAATATTAAAATCCTTAGTTAATTTATACATTTCGAAAATATCGTGTTGTGAGGGAATGATAGGGCAGCGAAATATAATATCAGGTTCCTGTGACAAAATAAATATTCTGTTATAATATCATCACTTTGATATCACTGAATTATTTACTTTACACAGCTATATCCTTATCATTTTGTAGAATTGTGAAATTTTATACGAGAAGGGAGGTAACTCTTCCTTAAACTGGATTCGAAGACAAATATGGATCGGAACCAAACTAATACCAACTTGCTTAATATATATATATATATATTCAAATTTTGATATAATATATTCTGTTTATACAGTGTGATTTGTAATGTACCACAGCGTCAATACTAAATGTGTCGGGATGTGACGTACATGGATTTAAAACTTAAAAATATTCAGATATTGTTATGTAAAAACTGTTCCTTGTTTTTCGGTGAACTATTTTCATGAATCCGCTGGGAACCTCGTTTTAATGACAACTAATTTTATGGTTTGTTGTCAAAATAAAGAAAAGAAAAAGTGGAAATACGTTAACTGGAACCCATAACAATAACATAAAAATATGGACTGTAGACAAAACACAAACCGGGACCACGACAAACATTAAACAGGTTTTCTCTGGTCTGTCAATTTGACATTTATTCATGGAGCGGTTGCAATCATATTTTACTGAGTTATATAAGACACATTATCTGGTTATTTTATTTATTCATGTCATGTCTCTTATAAGAATATATTTTGAACATCTCTTTATTTTTTTCACCTTTATCAGGTGTAAGACGTCTCGTTTAATTATCTGTTTAAATATACGATTGTACACTTCCTAATTTCATGAAGTGCCGGACCTCCGTTACCATCAGTGACACCTTGATTTGTCATACTTACAGAGTGTTTTGTTGAAAAGATGTACACAGCAAAGTTAGTCAACTATCAACCATTAAACACTGTATGCAAAATACAATAATTTTATTTAGGATGTTGAAACCATGGAATTCCAATACAGTTATTTTCATAAATACTACTACTGCTGTGTTAAAGGTAATTAACATGGATGGGGATGTACATATATATATATATTTTTAAGAAATTTAAACCTCCTCCCATCCTGTTGTTTGAACATTAACTCAAACAGCATTCCAAAATGTTGTCATTAGAAGGGAGATAACCAAGGAAGGCTAACGATCATAAATATACAGGTTTATCTCCCCTGCCTATAACATTTTTTAAAGACATGCATGTACCAGGCTCAGCATTTTGTAACGTGATATTTTGGATTCCTACTAACGTTTGTAGATATTGTACCTTCATCATCAACACACATATTCATTGTCAATGACGTGTCGACACAGATAGATTGTTAATGACGTATAAACACACAAATATATTGTAAATGACGTATAAACACACAGAAACATTGTTAATGACGTATAAACACACAGATACATTCTTAATGACGTATAAACACACAGAAACATTCTTAATGACGTAGAAACACACAGATACATTCTTAATGACGTATAAACACACAGATACATTGTTTATGAAGTAAAAACACACATATATAATAGAGCTACCATGTTCTATATCACGACATGTGGCACCCATTGCCATGTTCTCTATCACGACATGTGGTATCCTGTACCATGTTCTCGGTCACCACATGTGGCACTCATTGCCATGTTCTCTATCTCGACATGTGGCACTAATTGCCATGTTCTCTATCACGACATGTGGCACTCGCTACCATGTTCTCTATCAACAAATGTGACACTCATTGCCATGTTCTCTATCACGACATGTGGCACTCATTGCCATGTTCTCTATAACGCCATGTGGCACTCATTGCCATGTTCTCTATCACCACATGTGGCACTTGCTACCATGTTCTCTATGACCATATGTGGCACTCGCTACCATGTTCTCTATCACGACATGTGGCACTCGCTACCATATTCTCTATCACTACATGTGGCACTCGCTACGACGTTCTCTATCACGACATGTGGCACTCGCTACCCTGTTCTCTATCCCCACATCACTACATGTGGCACTCGCTACCATGTTCTCTATCACGACATGTGGCACTCGCTACCATGTTCTCTATCCCCACATGTGGCACTCGCTACCATGTTCTCTATCACTACATGTGGCACTCGCTACCATGTTCTCTATCACCACATGTGGCACTCAGTGCCATGTTCCTTGACCACATAGGACATTGTCTATTTTCCTACACACGGTTTCAAGCATGGGTTGTTCTATCACGGTAAAGACCAGCTTCTGATCAGTTATAGGTAGAAGTATGACATTGTTATAACAGATATGTGAACATATTAAACCACAGCACGAGATAAGACAAGTAAACATATCCCCGCTGTTTATTTCATCAATTACATTGCTATAATCTTTCCCTTACAAGCCTCTCCTTTGTAATACTTCCTGTAATCTTCAGAGTGAGAAGGGAAACGTTCATATCATTTATTTACAATACAGAAATTGCCCGCGTACACTACTCATAAATTTAATGTTTAATTATGAATCGGTCTTATTAAACACTAGGACGATGTCCGTTTCACACGTACATGTGTATTAACTTACCTGTTCTTATATCACCTGACAATGAATTCCCCCGTCAAATATACCTGTCGTTTTCAATAGCGTCGTCACTCGGACTGAAAGGCAATCATTACTCTTCCGTTATTCACCCAACCGTTTCATTATCTGTAAAAGGCGATTCAACAAAAACCCTTTACATCCAAAAAGAAATTATTTTCCTAAGTAAATTGAAAACACGAATCGGTCATGTATGCATGTGGTTTTACATCAGAAAAGGCCTGTTCTACCGTCAGACATCAATTTCTAAAGCGTTCATTCCTTGTTCAATATAAATATAACTAGATGTATGACAACGTTTGTTCCGCCGCTAGGACTACGGCTGTTCCCTGTGACAGGAATGTTCGTGTTCTTACGGAGTGATATTTGGAAACAGGAACTGGTACCTTAATACTTTAATTGTTTGTTATATAACTGACCGGTGGTGCTGTAACCTTTGAAGACAGAGGATCATTAATTTAAAGGTAGGTTTAATTTGTCATTTTTGTTGTTTTTCGAATGCCCAGTACTACCACTGAAATATATAAATTAATCGTGAAACAAAATATTGTCATGTACATCGCTTCTTTGTTGTGTTTTATGAACTTTAAACAAGTCGACGCGATGTTTGAAAAATTGTTTATGAAAGCGATTCGTGAAACGTGTCAGGTGAAGTAATACAATTATCTTAATACATTTTCCCCGTTTATTCCCAGCTGCCGAAAGAAAGGAGACAAATATTATTGTTCGGCAATGGCGAAAAACGATTCCAAGATGGGAGATAAATTCCTTGTGTGTGGTCTCTGTTCAAACTGGTTCAAGAAGCCCAGGACGCTTCCTTGTCTTCACTCTTATTGTGACAACTGTCTGTCCAAACACATCCTTAGTTCAGTCTCTAAAGGAGAGGTCACCAATCGGTCTAACGTAACCTCCAACATCAAAGAGTTCAATTGTCCTCTATGTGAAAAGGTAGTCACGAACGACAGATTCAGTAAACTCCCGCCAAATCAGTGGGTGAACGAATTTCCGGTGAACAAATTTTTATTGGATCTGCTTGATATCGAGAAGTTAAAAAGGGGAGACAAATCCTGTGGTCCGTGCAGTAGAAACGGTGAAGAATCGACAATCACTTCCTGGTGCAAGGAATGCCGGGACGGTTTGTGTGACAACTGCGCCAAAGTCCACAAAGGCATGCGTGTTTCCATGGAACATACAGTGCTGTCACGTGCTGACTACATGAAACAAATGGATCTGTTGAAAGAATATCAGGAACCATGCAGGAAGCACGCAGGGAAGACTTTAGATATGTACTGCATGTTCGAAAGAGAACTTTGTTGTCCAAATTGTGTAGCGGAGGAACATAGGAGATGTGAAAAGGTTGTACCCGTCGCCGAAGCTGCCACTAAAATCAGAACAGAACGTGAACCAGCTTTCCTATCCGACTCTCTTGAGCAATACATCAAACATATCGATCGAACCATGACAGACAGAAACAACCATACCAAGAAGTTAGAGGATACAAAGAAAGGATTGACGGAAGACTTCGCAAATATTCGTATCGAAATTATCAACCTGTTAGATAGTATGGAGAAGTCGGCGAAAAAAGAGCTGAATCAAATGCATGGAGACGAACTAGCACAGATACAAAAAGAGGTTAGAAAATGTAAGTCAATGAAAGAGGCGGTCTCCAACGCGCGGGTGTTATTGAAGATGGCTGAAGAGCATGGTAGCGACTCTAGATTAATGAACACTCTAGAGATGATTCGAAAAGAATGTTTCTGGTATGAGGAAGATATGGGAAATCTCAGAACCAAACTCCAAGACTGCGACTACGACTTTGAGAAGGACCATACTATCGACAACATGAGGCGCACTGTAAAAAGACTTGGTAAAATAAGCGTGAAACATGTCCCATCAAAGTTGCCACCTTTCCCTAACATCGTGACATTTGACCGTGTCGAGCAGTCCAAGCTGAACAGGTCTACACTTTCCCTCCGTGGGCGACGAATCGATCTACTGAGGACATTTGAGGCTAAGCAAGAAGACGACGGGGCAGAATGTTGGCATACGGGGGCAGCCTTTCTAGGTGACGGAAAACTCGCTTTAGTGGACAGACAAAACAAGAAGCTTAAGATCTACAACAAAAGCTACCGCGTTCAGCATACATTCCCACTGTCTTCTAAACCATGGGACGTCACCACAGTGAGTGGTAACGAGATAGCTGTGACACTTCCGGAGGAATATGCTATCATGTTGCTGATGGTTGATGATGAAATAACACAGACTGACTACTTCTCTACGGAAGAGAGGTGCTACGGCATTTCGTTCGCCAGGGGCAAGTTCTTCACTCTTTGTTACGACGGAGATCCGCCAGCAATGAAGATAATTGATTCCGACGGCAAAGAGATCGCTGCGATATCACATGACGATGCTGGAAGACCGCTCTTCTCTCGGCCCATCTACGTCACCTCGAACTCGTCGGGGACGATGATTTACATAACGGACGAAAGGCGTGGATCCATAACTACATTGGCGGAAACGGAGCAGTATTCCTTCCATTATTCCTGCCTGGAGGTGAGCCATGCTGCCGGCATTGACGTCGACCAAGCGGGAAATCTGTACATTTGTAGAAATCACGCTAAAAGCGTGCAGATGGTATCACCGGATGGGGACAGATTGAAGACCCTTGTGGCCCGGGATAAGATATCCTACCCGCGGGCCATTGCTTACGACTCTACAGACGAGAGGCTTGTAGTCACACAGGGTGACAAAGGTTCTGTAAAGGTGTTTCAGTTCATGACGTCATAACTTTCGGTGCCATGTGAGTTGTATATTGGTAACTGGGCAAAATAGTGTTAGGAGTATATACACATGTATCGAATACAACTGAAAGGCGGTCGAAGTTCTGGTATAATTTTTCCCTTTCATTTCTGGCCATATATGCGTGATTTATGATAGTAAATTTATGACACATCTTATAAAATATCATCGCACGAAAGTTTTGGATATATACTGCAATATTCTTGGAAGAAAAGCAATTGTTGGAAACCTGTCGGAGAATTTTCTCTCTATGGGGAAAACATTCGTCTCTTCCACTCCTCTTTTTTCTTGCCATTAAAAAGTATTCATTTATGTCCATTATGAAAAACGCCATTAATTACGTAAAAATTAAATAAGATATCCCCAAGGGTCCAACGTTTCCTTTTATACAGTAAACCATATCTATCGTCATTCTTGACCAGCCTTTCTATAGAAAGGATCTGTTTACATCCGATACTTTATGTGACCGTATTAATGAGATATTTCTTATACATTATTAAACACTAGACCTGGAATATCGTCACGTTACATTTCCTTTTATCTATTATGTTGCAGTAATACTGCATGACAGTACATTTTTGTAGAACTTTCTACCAGTATGTGTCATTACTGATGTCAACGTCATGTTAACGACATCTTGTTTCGTGTTACTATATACATTTCTCGTGTTACCATATACTTCTCTTGTGTTACTATGTACTTCTCTCGTGTTACCATATACTTCTCTCGTGACTATATACTTCTCTTGTGATACCATATACTACTCTTGTGTTAACATATACTTCTCTCGTGTAACCATATACTTCCCTCGTGTTACCATATACTACTCTTGTGTTACCATATACTTCTCTTGTGTTACCATATACTTCTCTCGTGACTAAATACTTCTCTTGTGACTAAAGACTTCTCTTGTGTTACCCTATACTTCTCTCGTGACTATATACTTCTCTCGTGAATAAATACTTCTCTCGTGACTATATACTTCTCTCGTGACTAAATACTTCTCTCGTGACTTTATACTTCTCTCGTGACTATACTTCTCTCGTGAATAAATACTTCTCTCGTGACTATATACTTCTCTCGTGACTAAATACTTCTCTCGTGACTTTATACTTCTCTCGTGACTAAATACTTCTCTCGTGACTATATACTTCTCTCGTGTTACCATATACTTCTCTCGTGACTATATACTTCTCTCGTGACTATATACTTCTATCGTGTTACCATATACTTCTCTCGTGACTATATACTTATCTCGTGACTTTCTCGTGACTATATACTTCTATCGTGTTACCATATACTTCTCTCGTGACTATATACTTCTCTCGTGACTCTCTCGTGACTATATACTTCTATCGTGTTACCATATACTTCTCTCGTGACTATATACTTCTATCGTGTTACCATATACTTCTGTCGTGACTATATATTCCTTGTGTGACTATATATTTCTCGTGTTGCTATATATTTCAATTGTCTGATATTAAAAATAAATGTTTTTATTTTTTGTTTTTGGTCAAAGCCTTCCACTTCACATCGAACAACAACAATAGTCATAGAGCACACAGTCTCATAAGTCGATTTTTTAAAATCCAAAACATCATATTTGTTGAGGTCGGTTTATGTGTACAAGACATTGATGTCAAGGTGAAATAGATAAAAATGTCACAAATAAAACGTGTCTTCCTTTTTTTAATCTCATAAGTTTTCTGTTGACGGTGTAATAATACATGTTTAACTTGGCCTGGCGGAGTCGGCTGTCTGAATGTACAGATTGTTTCCATTGCAACGCTAGCTCATGGCCCCATGTATATATCATTGCGGCGACGCTGAAGAATGGGGTCTAAATTTAGACAGAATCCCGACTAATCTTTGTATCGGTCTTGCTGTTTCAAGTTTTTGTTTTGTGTTGCCTAGGTATCTCAGTTACATGTAAAATTTTTACATTCATTCCATTTCATATATTTGACTCACTTCATGACCCCCCCTCCATCCCCCCATTCTCCATTTACCTCTTTAGAGACTTCGTAGTTCTAAGGATTGCGACTATCTATCCGCGATTTTATTCATTTATTTGTGGTGGCGGTCGATGTTAAAAACACAATTGTGGATAGAGAGTCATCACATCTCTTCCGATCAGAGGATTGGTGAAATGAAAAAATTGTAGTATAGACACTATTTCATAATTCTGGAACTTCAGGAGTGATCCTGGCTACATTTACTATACTTCAATATAAAATCAGAGCTACAAATGAAAAAATAACTGAAAAAATAACATACAACAAATCAATCTGCTTAAACAGTGTTTATTTTAATTGCACAGTATTTGATGCAGTTGTATTTTATACAGATCAAATGCATGCACACATTCAAACAGATTTTTAAAATCATTCATCTGTGACCACAAATTTATTTATAACCCCTGTCAAATCCTATATAGTTACATTTTTTGGTAAAAGTGTACTCCTTTATGTGAAATTGCCTGCAAAATGACAGAAACATGGAGAAGAAAATGCCATAATGACAATCAGTGACTCTTTCCAGCTTCCTAAGAGACATATAAAATGATGACTGAAGTTTACCTTACAGAACCAATTTTTTGTGACTATTGTCACGCTTGACTAGATATCACTTGCATGTAGCCCTTGTTATACCTTTCCAAGATATCCTGTTAGTTCTCTTGTACCGAATCATAGGCACATTAAGAATGAATGGTTCATCGGTATATGTAAACAAACAATGTACATATACACTTTCAATGAAATACGAGTATTTTTCTAAATGAAAACTTGTTAACTAATAAAAACATTCCAGTGTAAGAACCAAGGTATGATGGTAAATCAAAAGTCCGGACCTCATTTTACAGTTACTATCTACTTTAAACAAATCTGGAACCACATTCTCAATAAAATCAAAACTTTATCTTTACTGAACTAAAAATCCAATATATTTTTACGAGGTATGTAGTTTTATAAGTTATTTGCGGAACATCATTTTAGTCATACAATTACAGGTTTCTGTTTGCCAAAAGTTTTTTTTATTATTGAAATCATTAATTACAAGCCAGAGAAGATCAAATGCTGAGCTAGACTGTCTAGATAGCTGATGACAATAAACAGTTTATCATACACCACGTGTGTTACTTTGTTAATATACTCCCTTCAGATCACGTCTATTGAGATTTCATCTTCAATTATAATTCTTTTACATAACAAAATTTCACTGAAATTATTTCCCAGATATCAAAGTAAAATTAAACTGATAATGAGAAAAAAGTCTGAAACTAAAAAAAGCAGCTTTTGGGAAGTAGAGTTTGGCTATGTCTGATGAAACTCAAAAGGCAGCTTTATCATACATGGACATATACAACAGAAAATAACCAATAGAAACCAGTTTCACAGAAATTTTCTATTCCCAGTCATACCATTACGAAAACTAAGTTCAATACCAGATCCATTTTGTATTAAAATCCAACTTGTTTAGAGTATTGGTTTTCAGTTTTGTCTGTGGCCACCGGGTATACAGGACTGCATGTGTGACCATCACAAATTGAACACTTGAATACAGCTTATTCTTGGTTGTCAGTTTTCTGTCCTTGTTGTTCAGGTGACGGCATCACCACCTCGCTCAGCCATTTCAGGTAGGGAGGGTTACCATTGTCAATCTAAAACCCAAAAATTTCAAACTGAAACATTTCATAATAGAACATTAAGGATGATAATATTTTTAACTGAATGCAATAAAACAATGGCATGACAATCTGTTCATTACCTGGTAACTAAATTTATACTTCCTTGCTTTAACAAGAACAATTTCATATCATTTTATTTAAATATCAAATTGCGGTGTGACGTTAAATGTGTACAAACCTTGGAACTGATCACTTCAGCCACATCATACGGATGGTTCTCCCTGAAATGTAGATATGAGGAATAATTTTGAGTTTTATGAATTCACGTGTAAAATATTTAGAAAATTTCTTAACATAAGACAGACTGTTGTCTTTTTTTTTCATATCCCTATCCTTGTTTTGTTGTTTTTTGTTTGTTTTCCCCAGTCAGTATAAACATGTATATCTATGAATATTTTGGTACATGAATGATGTTAAATACAGGTATTTGTGACAGGCCCTAATGTTTTTGCAACAAGAAAAAGAATAAATGCATCAAATTTTGTTTTAGTATTATGAATTTAAGAAACAATGTAAAGGATACAAATTCCTTTGCTCCATAATTGATAACTGATGAACATCTTACAATTGAAGACATTCATGAACATTTGAAAGATAATGACCACAGCAACCTGAACATGTTGGATATATTCAAATACTTGCAGATTGTGCGAACATTGATTAAAATCTATCTTTGAATTAAGTTTTTTCCATGTTGACAATGTTTAAGAAAACCATGACCTTAACCAGAGCAGCCAGAACATGAGCTGTTGGATAACAGTTTACTCATTTTTGATTGCAAAACTAAAACTGATCGTGACACTTCTTACTGACAAAAAAATTTTTTTTTTTACTTAGTTATTAAATGGAGAAATGTTATATACATGTAACCTAGAGAACCAGATGAAAAACAAGCATTTTAGCATTTTGCACAAACATATTTAGATTTAGATAGTCCAAAGCAAAAAAATTGTAATTGCAACTCCCCCCACCCCCACAAAAAAAAGCTGCCCATTTCAATTTCTACATTAATAACTTTTGTACATCATAGAGCCACTGGACATTGAAATCATCATCTTTAAAACTGAACCCTTTATTAACTTTTGTGTGAGGTCTAACTTAAATCAATTCAGAAATGGAGTTGTCAACTTCATGCAGTAAAACCTCAAATCTCTTTCAGACTCTGTCACAAGGTAACCTTATGTTGTAAGGTTAAATTAGATTATAATCAATTCTTATTTACACTGAGAAACTAAAATCTAACACCAGTTTTCTAGTCTTTTATTTACAACACTTATCAGTTATATCTGAAAATGAT